CGTATTAGGCAGGTGTGTGACAGGCCTTGTCGAACTCCGTTTGAAGGGTGAAGGTAAAATGTCCACTGATCTCTGCAATTGAGATGGAAGGAAGAGGGATGAAGAACTTGTTTATCCTAATTTAAACAGTTTAAAGTCAATATCAAAGACCACCCGATCACTGGTCCAACTAACACTTAGATCGTCTGTGACGACCCATAGACGGTGACAGCCAGATTTTGGCTAAGCAGACACCAAGGTACTGATGCCTGACAGCAGTTACCATCTGAAATTAAATGCCTTCGCTGCATGACATGTCCTTCATTTAATTTGCAGTATCCCTCACTTTCTGGCAAATTTACCCACTTCTCCTAGAGACTATTTATACAACCCATATTTTATCTCCACTTCGGCAAGTGCTCAAACCACTGCACTTCTGCAATGCCGACGAGCAAGTGAAGAAGCATCACTTTGTTTTCGAAAAGAACGTCTGCATACGGATCGCCTAGGAGGTCTACAAGAGAGAATCATTCGGTCTTATCCTGTTGTCACAAGTAATGTCGGACTTGATGACAAACTACTTAAGAATAATGTGTCCCTTTCTTTATACGCTCCTCCTTTTCTGCCTACTACCATTTCCTAGGTCGCTTGTTTATTTGAATGCCTCATGTTAGTCATGTTTCCTGCGTTGAAATTAAGGTCAAAATGCTCCTCAGAAATTCACCACCAATCACTGTTGACCCTAGCAGATTGTTGGCGCAGAGAAAATTGCCTAATTTATGCCCCGCGCCACTTCCATGAATTCATCCAGGCTACTCCATTTAAAAGCATTTACTTTTCTCTTTCACCTCCTTCTCCCCCGCATCACCATCTTATTGCAACATGAGTACTTAGTCTCAAACGAACATTCATTATTTAAATCACACTCAACGTGGTGGAAGGAAACTTTCCACTTTCCCCTTCATGATAAGCCCGATTCCGGAGTAGCGGTAGAGATGGTAGAAGTAGCGTTAGTGATACAGAAGCAAAGGAAGGCGGGTACGTAGAGGAGAAAGGTAGAATTGATGGGTAGCGTAAAGAACCGCCCTCTCGACTTCTGGTTTACAGGACCAGAGCTATGACCTCGAGCTATGGAAGCCGCCAATATGTGCAAAATTCCTTTTCCATTAGTGCAGCTGGCCACCAGACCTCACCCTACGCCAATGCTCCGTGCCACACCCCACCTATCACATATGATGGTGTGAGTAAATGAGTTTGGTAGGAAAGATGGAAGAGAAGACAACTAGGGGTGAGTGGGGGTGAGTGAGGAGTGAGTGTCCTGCAGCAGCATTGAATGGTTTGGCGTGCTGTGAATGAGGGAGGATGGTAACGGGAGTGGGTGAATGAGTGAGTGAATATGTAAGAAAAGGCGAAGGAGGACAGGTGGCCAGGTAGTTTAGTCGGTGAGTGCGTCGTGCTAGCAATGAGAATATGGAGGGTTCGAGCCCCTCTCTGGTCTCTGCCCCTTTTTCGCCTCAAGCAATCTTCCCCTTCTCAAGGCCTGACTAGTGACGAGTCGTTGGTTGTTAAGCACAGTGCAACTACAGCGGAGGAAATGTAAAGCGGACACCTTAGACACTCCAATCTTCTGATCCGAAGTCAGACGCCTTATCCATTAAGCCACAAGGCCGACATTCAGGGAATGGGTCACACTCACTCAACACACCTTGGTGTTTACTCACCTGCGTTCATCAAATAAGGCGGACACCTGCCCCTAAGTCATGTCCACTCATTATCTGGTTGGTGGCATTTAATTGGAGTGAGAGGAAATGATTTGCAAGGCCTATGAATGGTTCAATTTTATCTTAAGTAGTACAGGTTTCGGCAATTCAGAGGCCCATATTGCCTCACCCTAGGCCAAACCAAAAGATGCTGACTCGACCCATTCCAGAGGTAAAAATTTAATGGCGCTATTTAGAAATAGCAAGAAAAAAAGTCATCATGTTCTCCTGGAGTCCTCACTTACATTAGATGGATAGCGACCTAGAAGCATGCCAAGTAAAATGTGCTAATTATGGTATATTGTTTACTCGGAAGTGATATTTAGAGAGCATTGCGTAGGAGCCTAAGATTTTGAATCAGTCAATTAAATGAGCACATTGCAAAGAGGCACGCCTTTACGTTGGTTATGTTATAACTTGTAAAATTACATAAGTTTGACGAGTAAAAGTAATGCAGAAGCTAGTTTTGCAATAAAGGTTTACTTTTACATTATTCTTGCTTTCCAAAATACGGTGAACATAGGTGTTTTTCCCTCATAGGAAAAGGGATATGAAGCAATTAAAAAGCA